ATTGTGAATTTCAAGGCCCCTGGGTCTGGGATACCAAAATTTGGGGGGGGGGGTGGGGCTCTACTTATATACTGAAAATGAATTGTTTGAAATATGCTCCTTGGTATTAATCAAACATTTTTGATAAGCGAGTGTGCCTTTTCAAAAATTGTGCAATGTGTAGACCTAGGATCAGGGGTTCATGTGTGGTAGGAGCACTCTTGATTATCGCTGAATAATACTGATTAGTTGACATACATTTTTGTTACCCTACCCTGCTTATGGGTATTAAGTAAACAAACCAAACAATTGCTAAGTGTATAGTTATGATTAGCATTGGTGCCTCTTTCAAAATCGTGAATGCAATAGCATCTAGCTTAAAACATGAACCAAATTCAATCATTTGAAAGTTGTTGCATGATGCTCAGGTGACCTATAAGGCCCGTGGGCCTCTTGTTAAAGCCCATGATGTAATTTTAATAAGTCACAGGTATCCAATGATAAAAAAGATAGTTATTCCACATACAGTACTTTTTTAAAAAATATCTTTGACGAGTAAAATATTATGCGTTACTTTTTTTGTTGAGTAAAAACGTATAACACAACCACTCATAGATGAAGCTTGAGATCTCCATAGTCCGGAGCACAGCCTTTATTGTTAATAAATGTTTAGTGAAAGGTCCAGGTACAGATAAATACCTTATCTGTAATATTTTGGCACTCAATTGCAACTATTTCATCCATGATTCTATACCCCCCCCCCCTCCAAAACAAAAAAAATATATCAATAAATATTACTGGTATGTAAAAACGGAGGGGGAAAATACAATCAAAAAGAAAATGCATTGTCTAGGACTAAAATAGATTTGTAAAGGATTACACATTGTACAGTAAAAATTAAAGTACAGAAATACTGTTGAATCTTACTTTTATAAGGTTGACAATTTTTATAAAGCAGCAAAATTTATTATTATACTATAAATAACAACAAAGAACAACCATATCAAACTATAAACATTGTACATATATATATATCCAAAAAAAGTCATCAAAATGGAAATGTATTCTGCCCAAGTCCCTATTAATAACACTGCGATGTAATTGTATCACAAGGTTCTATTTTTTGTTTCCAGTTTCTGACTAAAATTACAGACTAGATAAAAACTTATTTTTAATAACTTAGCAAGTCAATAATTCTTGCAAATTCACCAGACTTTGTGAATGACTTGAAGTAATACTGAATTAGTATAGCTCTTGTAGAACATAGGATACTTTACTGATGGCTTTCTTGACGTCCTCCTGGGACATATCACTTTGGAGTACAAACCTCAGTAGTGTGTCTGAGTATGGAAGCGTCTTTACAATGATCCCCCCCCCCCTTTTCCCTTCTCTCTTCATTTGTCACCTGTATCAAGAAGTTCTCAAAAGATTTTTTAGAAGATCAGTCAAGAAAATCAGATTGGGATTTGAAACTGCTTTATTATTCCAAAAATACTTTCTAAACACTTAGAATCCAACAGAGCTTGTGCCTATAAAAAGCACAGTTACAATTTGGCCTCATTTACAGAATAAACAAGGCAATGAATTATTATTATTTGAAGTATGAAGCATTGCTTACTTTTTCAGAAATGAATAATATGTCAAACCATGATGTGAAGAAAATTTGATATGGTAAATAGAAAGATTAATTATTTTTTATCTCACAATTAAATTAGAAATGTGAGGTCTACACGAAAATAATATTTACTCTCATACCTATCTAACTCCCATTAGAAAACATACTGAAGCGCTGCTTTTTAAATCAGAATATTTACATTTCCAATGTCTTTGTCCCAGATAAAATTACCATTTGTAAATGTAATTTATTTCCTCATGAATGTTTTGGCGCGGTTCCAAAAACCCACGTGCAGGGCGGGACAACACCCAGAGAGAGGCAAGCTTGGAGCCCGTGGATTTTTCGAATTCATGAAGATGATCAATGGATTCGCTTTTGTGATAATTTTATGCATAAACGCCTTCGGCGTTTATGCAAATTATCACACAAGCCAATCCATTGATCACTTCATGAATTCGAAAAATAAGACAGTTATTCCTTAAATAACAAATTGTTTTCTGTGCATGTAAAATAACACGCATCCATAAACAAGAGTTATCGTTCCATTATCGCTCTTGACAATATTTTTCAATGAAACAAAATATTAATTAAATGTTTATAAACAATACTGCATCTGAAATTTCTGTACAATTAAAAGAATTATACTTTAAGAGACAGAGATTTTTCAATTTACACTGTTTAAAGGAACTGAGTATAAATGTTTTAAGTAAACTGTTATAAATAATTAATCAATATACTAGCAATAGAAACTAGATATCAACACTTGTACCATAGAAAAGGTTTGATTGAGTTGACTATGAAATTGTCCTTTTGAATGAAACTTGTAAACTCTGATATGACAATTCACTGAGTTTCATGACAAAATGTCTGAAGAAAGTTATCTCTCTTATTAGAAGAGTTATCTCTCTTATCAGAGGGATATTCCACCTTAAAACGAGTTTCCAGCTTCAACTGAAAAGGCAAGAAGGCAACTATATCTAAGGCCATGCCAACTTCGTTGAAAAAAATATATATACGTGTATTAATTACTACCATGACTTTACCAGAATTATACTCATTCTCATGTTAATCGTATTTTTTTACAGGGCTAAATTCAAGCTGAAAAGCGAACATATTAAACAATAAATAAGTACCTTTCCTCAAAAGACAAAATTCGTGTGCATCTTCTATCAATTTGATGATAACCGACTTTTAAAGTCTTTGAATAAAAAGAAATCGTTTTTCTGTTTGATTTGTTTCAAGTAAAATAAACCTACAGCGCCATAGCAAAAGTATTCGCGATCTTTAAAAATGGCGACGGCTCACTTTCGCGTCTCGATTAGGAAAAGAGAGATAACTCTATGGAAAATAAGAGTTATCTGTTTATTTTTTTACGGAGTTATCTTTATGTAGGAAATGACGTAATTTTATATTAAATTATCGTCTGCACTTCCGTAGTGAATGTAAACAAGCAGAATTTAACCATGGGTCGAAAATCTGATGAGCTGAGTGCTGAAACTAAAAATCTAATCGTAACTTTGAAAAGTGAGAATCACACAACTTCAGAAATAGTAGCCGCAGGGTTTAAAACCCCCCCCCCCCCCACACACACACACACACACACACTTATATGTGTTGAATATTAGTGAATCTACCGTGAGATCTGTTTGGAATAAATTTATTCAACGGGGAACTGTGAAAAATTTACCTCGAACGGGAAGACCTCGAAAGTTGTCACACAGAGATGAAAACTGGATTATGCGGACGGTCAAAAGCAACAGATACAGGCCCCTAAATAATGTTACGTTAGATTTAAATGAAGGAAAATGTCCTACAGAAACTGTAAGTAAATGTACAGTCCAGAGATTTCTTAGAAAAAAAGGATATCAAAAAAAAGTTGTGAGAAAACGGATGGTTGTTCCTGAAGTTAATTGGAAAAAGCAATTATCTTGGTGTTTGGGTAAACGACGACTGACAGTGGAACAATATTGGCAAAATGTCATATTTTCTGACGAAAGTCAAGTTGTAATTGGAGATAATCACCGGGTTTATGTCTGGAGAAGAGCAAATGAGGCGTACCTACCCCAGTGCATGTGCCCTCCCCGTAAATGTCGAGTTGCAGTTATGGTATGGGGATGTATTACTTACGATGGTGTAGGGACTTTGTGTCTTGTCAATGGCAACATAACTGCTCAAAAGTAAATAGATATACTCGACGAACATTTGTGGCCAGTTATAGCGAGGCATTTTCCCAATAAAACTTACCTATTTCAAGATGACAATGCACCCGTGCACAGAGCCAGGATTACGTGTGAATATAAGACAAACAACAGCATTCCTTCCATCACATGGCCGGCACAGTCCCCGGACATTAAAATAATTGAAAATATTTGGTTGAAAATAAAACGTTCACTTCAAAACACGGCCAGAGACATCAAAACCCAAGACGAACTTTTTAATGCAATACTTGACATCTGGCAAAACATCGCCCTTGAGTATGCAAGAAACCTATACCTATCGATTCCCCGTCGGATCCAGGCAGTAATAAGATCCAAAGGTCAACTCACAAAATATTGAAAACAGTAAGTCAGTTTTTCATACTTTTAAAATAGTTTTATTTTGTTATGCGCGTCCTTGTTTACGGCCGCCATTTTGAAAAATCGCGAATACTTTTGCTATTTTTACCTGACCCTTTATAATTAACACAAAGTGGGCTGATCAAGTTCAGTTTCTTTATTATTATTTTTTTTTGCGTCAATCGACACATCAGATTACATATATACATGTACAACAATAACTAATTATATATATCAATATGTGTCCAAATGCTGCGCTTGCCTTGTCTGCTGTTAGAGTCGTAGTCGTAGCTTACATAGAGCTAAGGTCTATGAAGCTTTATAATAATGAAAGGAACAATACTGGCAGAAGATGAGACGTTGACAAACGTTTTAATCACTCAGGCTCTCAGAAATTACAATTAACAGAATGAATTTTGTTGCCTTCACGTGAAAGACACGGAGGGTGCTTATATGGTCCTCTTTACCTTATCGTGAATAATCAAATAAACAGTGTTTAAATTCAAAATTTTATATTTTTATACTGTTGTTTCGAAAAAAAATACCAGTTTGTAGCCGCACGTTCGAATGTGCCAACCCCCCCCCCCCCACACACACACACACTTAGGGTCCAAATGTGTCAGGGATGTCTGGAACCTCGGCTCTGTTGTTTGTGCATAATCAGCAACTGTTTCTGCAAACTGTTTCTGCATGACTGCATGAGTAGAAGCTAGGCTAGTCAAGTATAGACTGATTTCTATCTCCAGCTAAACAAACTGTAGTCGATCTAAGCAAAGATTAGTCTGTTGCAATGTAGCAGCGAACTTCGAATGACTTAAAACACCCGAAAATCTTATACGTGACAGAGTACGTCATGCTTAGCACGAATTCAACCATTCACTCACAAACAAATGAACTACCAATCGATCTCCTGTACCGATGGACTTAATCTGCATGCATAACAAACACACATGTTTTACCATTACTTTTATGAATATATACATTCACTGGGATAATACTGATGTAAAGAATTTGTTTTGAGCATCATCTTAATATGTAAATTACAAAAAATTCAAATAATGATAACAACATCTCAAAATCTCGTGAACTGTAAAAAAAATTTCTAAATCTAAAATAGATATGTAAAGGATTATACATTGTTTTATAAAGCAGCAACTATGGTACGAATAGCAACAAACAAACAACAACCATAATATCAAAACATAAACATTTTACATGTATATCAAAAATGTTATGCATCACAGATCTAATTTTTTTCTTTTCAGCTTCTGACTAAAATTCTGACTAGATAAAAACTTATTTTTGATAACTTAGCAAATCAATAATTCTTGCAAAATTACAAGATTGTGTTAAATGACTTGAAGTAATACTGAATTAGGATAGCTCTTGTAGAACATAGGATAATTTACTGATGGCTTTCTTGACGTCCTCCGGGGAAATACCAGAGTGTAGGACAAGCCTTATTAGTGTGTCAGAGTACGGGATTGTCTTCACGATGATTCCCTCCCCCAGCTCCCTCCTCTCTTCATCTGTCACCTGTATCAAGGAAAAATTATATTTCTATTTTCAAAATATTTCTAGTTGTAGAAGATCAGTCAAAAGTTAATCACAGGACAAAGGATTGGGGGATTGTGGTTAATATTATATCTGAATTTATTTAATCACACTAATAACTGTACTTTATCATAAACGTCTATTTTCAAACTTGAAAAAAGTATGTCTTTTTCATTAAGCATCCATGGATCTAGATTTCTTAAGGTATTCTTTTTCATATTCATACTGTTTCTGTAATGAATTGAACAGTTTAGACCTGGATTTCTTGGGAATGTATTCAATTCAATTGTTTTTAAAAGTAATCAGATTTCTACAGCCTACCTGAAGCAGCCTGCCATACAGCTGTATTGCCGTGACGCCAGGTTTTGTCACTGTCAGGAAGACGATGTTGGTTTCCACGGTTTCATGATTTACATGAACAACGGTCTGTGGTGCTGACTTGATGGCTGTAAAAACAATTCAGAAAAGAATTAGTATTGAACAAATGTACCACCGAGAAATGGCAACTCTGTTATATTTTTATTTTTGAATACTGTATACAGGTTATTTTCACTCTTTGTTATTTTCGCCCTTTTACACTTGCCATCAATTGTGCCCCGTTTTAAATTCTTCTATTCAAAGTTCTGTTTATGAAATAATACTATGTTCTTTAAATTCGCCCACTTGTGACAAGGGCGATATGAATTTAAGTCTTTCAGCTTGTGTATCATAACCATATCCAAATTAAATCCCCACCATTTGTAATCTGTTGAGCCTTGATGTGGTCCTCTGAGAGTTTGGGAAGGACATGGTCCAGTGAGTACATGGCAGCTGCTGCAAGAACACCCGGATGATGCATGTCCACTCCCAGGGCCTTTCTTCTCCTCTTGGCTCTACAATTTAAATAGAAACTCAAATTAATGGATTCATATTTAATAATGACAGAAAGCCACAAATAATGTACAATTTGAATAAATACCAATTCAAATATATAAACTTGTGAGGTCAAAATAATTTGAAGTCATGCATACATATCTTCTTTTTTTAAAATTGAGACCTACATCTTAATAAAATCACTTGTCCCAGCTATGATTGATCCCACTGGACAACCAAGTCCCTATAAAGAAAATAAAAACCCCTTTCCTTGGTAAATATTGATAATTTCCTGGTGAATTCCAAACCATACTCACTACAGGAGAGTCCATAATTGTATAATGTGCATACCTTGTTGAAGCACATGTTAACGGAGTCTGCATATCTTGTGATCTCCGCTGGCTTGACCCCCAGGACAGTTGCAGCATGCATCAACCTCGCTCCATCAAGGTGGACCTTCATACCATATTCCTGAGCTAGTTCATATACCTAACAAAGAAAAAACATTATCTTGCTATATTATCAAGAATTCACTTTTAAAATGGTTACAGGATCAACAAACCTACAGATGTTATCTCTGTTACATTTAAATGCAGGAGAAAAGAAAACTTCTTGGGTCAGAAAATGTGGTCATTGGAGGTCTAGGTATATTTTGATATTACATGTACTTGCAAAATAAAATCAGTATGCATTATTTGAGCTATTTTAAAAAAGGATATCAAGACATTAAAGACCCACCTTTTTCATATAAGACACCGGTACGACTTTCCCTCCGCAGTAATTATGAGTGTTTTCTACACAGATCAGCCTGGTGTAGGGGAAGTGGGGGTCGTCACTGACTCGAATCCTCTCCCTGATCTTGTCCAGGTCCATCGTCCCATCCTCATTGTTCTCTACCACAGAGGTCAGCAACCCACCAAACTATAGGCACAGATAGATTGATTGATTGTATATTGTTTAACGTCCCTCTCGAGAATTTTTCACTCAGGCACAGATAGATAAAGTGTACAGGTATATATATATATATATATCAAGTGACTCAGAAATAAAATCACCGAACAGTTTTAGTGAAGGAAAAGAAATAACATTTAGAGCGCAAGTATTTGAAATTGCAACTACATTGTATATATTGACAAGGTTTTTATATTCACCTAAAGCTTAATTTCCAAATTAGTACCTCAGTTTGACTAAACAGAAACAAGAAACCCGAAAGCCTTATATATATAGGTCACCTGATTATCATGTATCACCTTTCCAACAATTAAATTTGGTTTGTGTTTTAAACCAAAAGTCATGAAATTCACAATTTTAAGAGGCACCATTGTTTATCATAATTACTCACAAAGCATGCTTACTTTGGCTACCATATATACTCGCCTATAAGTCAGTATTTTGGGAGTTAAATATTGGTCTAAAACTCTATGTCCGACTTATAGGCGAGTCATAAAGTCATAATTTTCTGGAGGCTAAAAGGTACAATCTTATTTGCATTTCAGACGATTATCAAAGAAAATGTCTGGATATATAAGATAATTTATGTATTCTTAGATTACTAGTATATATATATATATAAAGTACAAGTATTTACATATTTTAATAACTTTATTTGTATTTTAAGTGACATTACCTCTATGTTTGATAATTTAAGATTAAATGTCAATGTCATTTCGAAAAATATTAATTGAAACCAGGTTAAAACATCAATAGGTTTACTTGAAATTGTCACGAGATTTTGGCAAACAAAATTGTACCGACTTATAAGCTGGTCAATAGCAAATCCCACGAAGATAACGTAAAAAAATACAACCGATTTATAGGCGAGTATATACGTTACTTTATACCCAGAGGTAGATCAGAGTAAAAAAGAGAAAATGAATTTCCACTATATAACCACCAGTTAAAAAAATTTTATCAAAAATTTTATTTCATCATAAATGATTGATCAATACCAACGAGCATATTTCAAAGCATTAATTTATTTTCAGACTATGTACCCATACAACCCCTCCCCCCCACTCCAGTACCACCACTACCAGTAGTCCGGGGAGCTGAAATTGATCATTTTGGAAGAGACAGCTTTTTTCATCATAAATATGTACTTAGATCATTGGCATAATATCCGGAACAAAGGAAAGTATTTTCATAGAATTTAATATTTTCACAATATAATTAATAGAGTCCCGCCCTAACACCAGAACCCCTGACCCTGGGGCCATGAAATTCACAATTTTGGAAGAGGCATTCTCGCTTATTATAACTATGTACTTATCTTATTTGTCAGATATCCAGGAGTAGAAAAGAAGATTTCTAAAGAATTAATGTATTTTCACCATATAATCAATAGAGCCCGGCCCTAACACAACTAAGAACCCCTGACCCAGGGGCCATAAAATTCAAAATTTTGGAAGAGACATTCTCGCTTATTATAACTATGAACTTAGTTAGTTTGTTTAATACCCAGAAACAGAGAAGATTTTTAAAGGATTTATGCATTTTCACTATATAATCAATAGAGCCCCCCCCCCCCCCCCCCACCAAAACCCCTGACCCTGGGGACATGAAATTCACAATTTTGGAAGCAGTCTTATTCAACATATCTATCTACTCGGTTAGTTTATTTATTGCCCAGGAGCAGAGAAGAAGATATTTTTAAAAAGAAATAATGCATTTTCACATTATAATCTATAAAGCCCACCCTAGCAATAGAATCCCGACCCTGGGGCCATGAATATCCCAATTTTGGTAGAAGACTCCATGCTTATTACAGTCATGTCAACAATTTTACTGCTTGATGTTCAGGAGTAAGGGAGAAGATTTTTAAAGATTGCATTAGTTTTAGTGGTTTTGACCCCACCCCTCTGGCCCCAGGGGGCAGGGACCATGAAAATCACAATTTTATGTTTCCCTTTGGTTGAAATTAGTTGAGCGGTTGCAGAGAGGAAGCTTAAAATCGAATGTTTACACACGGCCGACGATGGACGACAGACAACGTACGACGACGGACGAAAACGAAAACGAAAACGAAAGTAATAGGTCAACTGAATTTACTCAGGTGACCTAAAAAACACAAAACAAAATAAAAATTTAGAAAAACCTCATTTTTACCTGTGCTACATTTCCTTGTCTATGAGTAAAAAGATGACTTTTATGACCCAGGATAATTTCCAAGCCTCTCTCTGGACAGTGAGTCAAAACTGAAAAAAAAGAATTTTGTATTACTGGACATGTATTTATTCAACAAAATGTTAAGTCCCTAATAATGGGAAAAGCAAAATGCTCGTAAAAATAAAATAGCATCTGCTATTAAGTACAAACTTGAAGCAAGGTTTCCCATTGTACCAGTAGGAAAAAATAATGCTGCTTCCTTTTCAAAAAGTTTGGCAATTCTCTCCTGCAGAGCTGAAAACAAAACATGTTTTTTTAAAGCAAAATTGGTACTCTTCACATTTTTTCATACTGTACCTAAAAAAATCAGTTATAGTTACAATGGCAACATCAATCATCAAAATCAAAAACACAAAACTTATGATTATGTATCTCAGTGTAGTTCTCTTGCATGCAAAATTATATTGTACTCAAGCTAAAACTGTATTTGTAGTAACATATTGATTTACACAAATTTCTATTTTTAGTAACCATGACAACATCGTTCATCAAAATCAAAAACCGATAGACAGAATTATGTGTCTAAGTGTAGTCTACTTATTTGCCAAGTTATATTGAAATCAAACCAAAACTCTAAGAGAGTAGCAATCTAAAGTATTTCACAGAAATTTCTTTTTTTGTGACCGCGGCAACACCGTTCATTGAAAACAAAAACCGATACACAGAATTCTGTATCTTAGTGTAGTCTACTTGTGTGTTATATTGAGATCAGACCAAAACTGTAGGAAAAGAAGCATTTTAGAAGTATTTTACAGAAAATTCTATTTTAGTAACCACGGCAACACAGTTCATCAAAATCAAATATATATAAATTATTGATCTAAGTGTAATCTACTTGTGTGCCAAGGTAAACTGAATTCAGACCAAAACTCTAGGAGGAGTCGCATTTTGAAAGTATTTTACAGAAATTTCTATTTTTAGCAACCACGACAGCATCCTTCATCGAAATTAAAAATCGATATACAGAATTATTTATCTTTGTGTAGTCTACCTGTGTGCCAAGTAGTATTGAAATCAGACCAAAAATGCATTTTAAAATTATTTCACATAAATTTCTAATTTTAGAAACCACGGCAATACCGTTCATACAAATCAAAAACCGATATACAAAATTATGTATCTTAGTGTAGTCCCCTTGTGTACCAAGATTTTCTGAAATCGGACCAAAACTGTAGGAGAAGTAGCATTTTGAAATTTGTTTACAGACAGACAGCCAGACGGACGGACGCATTACTATCACAAAAGCTCTTCTGGTCTGTGACCAGTAGAGATAATAATATGAAGCACACACCATAAACTGTTGGATCCTCCCTCATGACATCATCCCCGACTTCAGCAGCTGCCATATGCATGGCATTCCTCATTCCCGGTGAAGGCTTGGTGACAATTTCACTCTGGAGGTTCACAACGTGTACGTCAGACCGCGTCTGCTGATTAAGAATTTCCATCCCTAATAGGACCAAATTTTTTACCCTTAAATGTCCATCAAGTACATAACACTCTGATATTAAAGCATTTCATAGGAGAAAAGGATTGTCCGTTTGAAAATTTCAACAATTTCGCTAGTTAAGCATTAATTGATCAACAAAGAATGCATTGAAGCCTATGGGGAAAAGCATTTTTTTTTTTAAATAAAAATTCAAGTTATAAAAATATCATTAAATACTGCGGTGGAAAGATGCATTGAAACATTAGAAATATAATGAAAATTTAAAATACTGTAGACCAGGCTTGGGGCGAATTACATTGTAAAGTAATGCATTACATTACCATTACTTCAACAATTTGGGCATTAAATTATCATTACTCTATTTTCCTAACGTAGTGCATTACATTACCATTACTTACGTAAAGTAATGCATTACCATTACTTTTGGAGGTTTTTAAAAATAGAAATACAAAATTTTCATTTTTTTTTATAAGCATGCATCCACCCCCTTCAAAACTTAACATGATAAATGATCATTCAAATTTCATTTCAAGTACTTGTATAAGATAAGACAAGATTTATCAATACCAATTTGGGGCCCGTCAGGGCATACAAGTAAAGAGAAAAATTCAAAATTGATAGTAGCAACTAACAAAAGATTAATGATGATACAGCAGTTGGGGATTACAACATATATAATCGACACATTGTACAGTATTATAAAGGCTATTTTACTAGAGTATAAACATTTTTTACTCTTTTGCATTAATTTGTTTCTTTTTTTAACACTGCATAATTTGCTGTTTCTAATTTTAAAGATATTGATAAAAAAATTACCCAGAAAAAATGATAAGCAACATGTCATTTTCGTATACTGTCAATAACTTACCATCATAGGAAGTTCAAACTTTTAAATTGTCAGTAATATAAAACATGTACAGTATGCACTTTTTGTGTAACTATTGATGTCATAAAGCAATTGAACATTTGGGACACTTTAACCCCTGTCAAAATATATCTAATAATAAAGCATATGCTATTTTGATTTAGTACCTTAGTTATGAAAAAATGAATACATTGACACACTTGTGAAAAAGGTAAGCATAGAATGCCTGCATGTTTTCTATTTTCTTTGGTAAAATGGATTTTTCATGGTCAAGCTAGACCAGCTGAATTACTGTTTTATAAACACAATCAGAATAACGTGACTGGTAATTTGGAGCACTTGTCCAAACAAATGCACTGTTTAATCATAACCCAAGAGATAGTGTGTTTTGATGGTGTGTTCCCGTTTTGCACACATTTGATAATTAGGTATGGAACGATAGGTGTGAAGTGTGTTTTGATAGCAGTTATAGTCTGATTTCTGGTTTGGATTTACCTGGATTTACCTGTGAAAACCTGATTTAGCTTAATGTATTCTTCAGAGGTTTAATATAATTTTGTAAGCATTTTATTAAAATTTTTACTATATATATATTTATGGGAAAATATTCTATTTTATAAATTATTAATATTTATTAATATTATTTATTGATATATGAAGTCCAATTTCTTAAAAAAAATAAAAACTTTTCAATAAAATTACTAAAAAATTAAAATATTTAAAAAATAATAATTTATCTGCTATTTTTATTTCAAAAGTAGAAATAGAATAAAAATTAATTTTTTACTTAAAAATAAACATCAAATACATTTTAACTTTGTATTTATTCTCTTGATGTTTATTCAGCTATAATTTGTTTACACTTTCACATACATACTAAATTTTATTTTTAGACCTGATTTTCAAAAAGTAATTATCTCACCTGGTCAAACTCCCATTTTTCACACATTTTTTAATTACCTGTGATTCAAATGTGTGCAAAACGGGAACAAACCGTTTTGATGACACTAGAGCTATTCAAAAGGTGGCAATTTTCAGTTTACATAAATTAGTGTACCTTATATGCAATTTTTAAGGCTATTTTGTCCAGATTACTATCTCTGGGCAATATATCGGACCTCATTTTACTCAGATTATAGGTGTAGTCTTTCTTCAAACTTGTTTATCTCAAAGATACATCGAACTGCAAGGTTTGTCAGCCTTTTGCTGCTCCTTTCAGCAAAGAGGCTTGCGAAAGATCAAAATCCCTTTCACTCATGATATTTTTTCAATAATAAATAAACTGCCAGCAAGTGTTAAACATGAAAGGAAATGATAATCAGATTATTTTGAGAAAATCATTCTATAAATATTTACTTGGAATCGATTTCGAGAGACAGTCTGTCACATTGAGTCTGAAGCAGAGCAACACTAAAGCCGATGACTTAGTTAATGACGATGCTTTAGCATTTTGACAAGATTTTGACGTCAATGACTCGTAAAATGACATAACCAAATAGTTCCTATTTAAATTCGTTTCAAAACTCGAATAACATTTGTGACTTGATTCCAACCACGTAATAATGACATTTGATTACAACACATAAAAAGTTAATTCAGAAATATTTATAACATAATAACAGTCGAGTAATTTTTCTTAAAAATTGTTATATTGTAATTTTTTTCTTTGCAAATTCCAGGGCGGACACCAACACATCTGTTATGTATTCAATTTCATAGTATCTGTTGCTCTTATAGATTGAAAAATCTTAAGCTTGTGGTCGTAGTAACGCGTGTCATGCCATACAGAAGCCACCTCCTGTATTACAGGGCATGACAAGGCTCTCCCCATAGCAGGTAACATTGGTCTAGAATAGAAACTTTTGCTAATGGTTCTACTTAAAAGAATAGGAGGCCCATGAGTCACAAAACACACATTTGACTACCTTTTGACAAAATATTGTGGCTGCCTCTTTGGGGGGAATGATTTTTTTTTTACAAAGTTGACTCTACTCTACATAGGAATACTTGTTTATCTATAGAAAAAGTCAGAAAAATTATTTTATAACCATTGGACAGGTCAGCTGAAAAAAATTCTTTTTTTAATTTAAGCATTTCAATTTATGTGTTAGAGTAATCTGGTAATTGATGACAGTTGCTATTAAGTATGATTCGAACATTGATTTATGGACTTTGAGATTGAATACTCTTCGTTATCTCCATATCCTTCATTCACCTTGTTCGGTTTGTAGAACTAGTAATTGGAATAATGCAATTATTATATGCGTCAAGTAATATGCTTTTTCAAAGTAATCAATTTTTCACGGCTAACTGCTTTATTTTCGAAAAGGAAACTTAGCAGCGAACAAATTCAAGACCACCATGCATCGATTTGAATTATTCTCTTTTAGAGACGTGGACAGGCTTTTGCCTACATGGATGTAAGGGAAAGCCAGTCCACAACTCTAAAGTGAATATGGCAAGTGTGACCGGTCAGCAGGGGATGCTCACTCTTCCATGGCACCTGATCCCACCTCTGATGTTTCGGAGGTCCGTGTTTGCTCTGCTCTTATTTTGTATTGTTTTATGGACTTCAAGATTGAATACTGATCGTTATCTGATTCTCCATATCCTTCTTGGATCAGTAACTCTCGTCGTAAACAACATAAAAAATAATTTTTTCTTTCATATGAAAACATACCACGAGACTTTTTTCTAGGTTTAACACGCAGTGTGCTTCCATTCTTAAAGACAATACCTTAATTTTATTCTTTTTCACCTTGTGTAAACGTGTTCTCCTTTGCCGGTGTGACAGAAGTAAGTCATTTTTTAGGCCGATGATATAATATGCACGACCGTCATGCGCATTGTAGGGAAAGTCTATTTACACAACCGTCGTGCAAATAGCTATTGCAAATTGCTGAGATACATACACGACCATCGTGCACATAGGTATTAAGGTATTCAATCCCTAATAGGAACAAATTCAATGAAATTGAATACATAACAGATATTTAGGCATTGAATACTCAGTTTTTTTTTTACATACTTCCCATTTATTATTATTAGTATGCATAGTGGGATGTGTCCTAATTTCTGACATTGAATTTTGGTAAGAGTTATCTCCCCTTGTTTTAATTCATTAAAAAATCAAATAAAAAATATAGCAGGTAAAAAAATTATTTTCAGTTGTCATTCTATTTTTAATGATTCAAGGAATCTTTCCATCGCAGGATTTATTGATATTTAAATTATTTGAATTTTTATTTTGAAAATAAAAACGCTTTTCCCCATAGATTTCAATGCATTCCTCGTTAATTGACTACTGCTTAATTAATGAAATTTGTGCAACTTTCTCGCGGGCAATCCTTTTCCACTTTAAAATGCTTTAATATAATATCAGAGTATTATATACTTGACAGATATCTAAGGGTAGGGAATTTGGTCCTATTAGGGATGGAAATCCTTAAGTAAAAACCGGCATAATCCTATTGTAATATAATTTTTGACGTTTTTAACGTAACGCCAGGAGCGTTAAAAGTTCTCAAATATTAATATTTTATATCACATTATTTAAAATCCAATGACAATAAAAGGATTAAATAATAGATTGATTGATTGCATATTGTTTAACGTCTCTCTCGAGAATTTTTCACTCATATGGTGACGTCACCGTATGCCGGTGAAGGGTTTCAAATTTAGACCTATACTCGGCACTCAGGGCCATAAAGCAGTGAGGGTTCTTTATTGTTTCAGCGCCTACCGTGACATGGGACCTACGTTTTTAAGGTCATATCCGAAAGATAGTAAATAATAGAAAGACAAAAGATATTTAAATACCCCAAAACTAATTAGCATCGCGATGCCAATAACATGAGTATATAAAGAGAGACGAAGTTCCATATATCAAGATTATAAGCTCCACAAAGGGAAGTATTCCCGGGAAAAGGGATTCTTTGGGGGCAGTATCATAAAAATATGGGGCTTGGATATTTTGGGGTATCACTCTTAAAATAGCATGTTTTACTGGATAAAATATCCCCAAACTAATTAGCATCGTGATGCTAGTAACAGGAGTATATATAGAGAGAGAAGATATTCCAATTTTTATATATACTTTGTTCCAAATATCAAGATTATAAGCTCGGATTGAAAATTTATACGGTGCATAATCAGGATTACGCGGATTTTGAAAATTTTGGTGCAACAATATTTTCTTGCTGAAAGAATTTTGGATTTCATTTTATAAAAGACTGGATTTTAACAATCAAAATTTGAATAGAAACAATAAGACGTAAAATAATTTGACAAAGGGAAGTATTCCTGGCAGGGAAAGGGTTTTTTCAGGGGCAGTATCATAAAAATATCGGGCTTGGGGGGTTTTTTTTGGGGGGGGGGGGTATTATTCTTAAAATGGCACGTTTTACAAGATAAAATACCCCCAAACTAATTAGCATCATGTGCCAGTAACAGGAGTATATATAGAGAGAGACAAAGTTCCAAATATCAAGATTATAAGCTTTACAAAGGGAAGTATTCCCGGGGAAAGGGTTTATTTGGGGGCAAGTATCATAAAAAACCAGAAGTCTCTGTCTTAACTGAAGCTCTACTGGTTTGTGCTTGTAGCAAAGTAAGAGAAAAGTACTTAAGCAGTTGGGAATTGAAACTTTACAACAGCAATAAATAGAAAAATGATCCTTGATCAGGTCTCTTAATGTCCTTAGTGTAGTCTACTTGTATGCCACATTATATAATAATCAAACTAAAACTGTATTTGAAGTACAAAAAATGTAGCATTTTAAGAGTATTTAATAGGAATTTCTATTTTTAGTAACCAAGGCAATAATGTTCAGGGAAGTCAAAAACCGATATGCAGAATTGTGTATCTTAGCGTAGTCTACTTGTGTACCAAGTTATATTGAAATCAGACCAAAACTGTAGGACGAGTTGCATTTTGAAAATTTTCACAGAAATTTCTATTTTTAGTAACCACGGCAGCACCGTTTATCTAAATAAAAAAAACGATACTCAGTACACAGAATTATGTACCTTAGCATTTTGAAAGAATTCCACAGGAATTTCTATTTTAAGTAACAATGCTAACACCGTTCATCGAAATCAAAAACTGATACACAGAAATATGTATCTTAGTATAGTCTGCTTGTGTGCCAAGTTTATTGAAATCAGACCAAAAATGTAGGAGATGTAGCATTTTGAAAGAATTTTACAGAAATTTCTATTTTTAGTAACCACGGCTACACCGTTTATCGAAATCAAAAACCATAAACAGAATTATGTACCTTTGTGTAGTCTACTTGTGTGCCAAATTATATTGAAAACAGACCGAAACTGTAAGAGGAGTAACATTTTGAAAGAATTTTACAGAAATTTCTATTTTAGGTACATGTAATCATGGCAACCCCGTTCATCGAAATCAAAAACCGATACATAGAATTATGTATCTTAGTGTAGTCTACTTGTTTGCCAAGTTATATTGAAATCAGACCAAAACTGTAGAAGGAGTAGCATTTTGAAAAAAAAATTACAGACAGACAGACGGATTACTATCGCATAAGCTCTTCTGGTCTCTGACCAGTAGAGCTAAAAATGGAGATTATTGGGGGTATCACTCTTAAAAAGCACTTTTTACTGGATAAAATATCCAAAACTTATTAGCATCGCGATGCCAATAAGAGAAGTATATAAAGAGAGACGAAGGACATCTAAACATCTCCAAACTAATTAGCATAAATATCAAGTTAGCTTCTTTGGGGCAGTATCATTAATAAATGGAGATTTTTGGGGGTATCACTCTTAAAATGGCACGTTTTACTGGATGAATTCCTCCAAACTTATTAGCATCGCGATGCCAATAACAGGAATATATATAATGAGACGATAGACATTAAAACAAAAACTAGTTTTGTGATCCCAATAACAGGAATATATATAGAGAGACACGAATTTTCCATATATTAAGATTATAAGCTCCAGAAAGGAAAGTATGAGAAAAGGGTTTCTTTGGGGGCAGAATCATAAAAAATGGGGCTTGGAGATTCGGGCGAAGGGGGGTATCTCTCTTAAAATGGTACGTTTTACTGGATAAAATACCCCCAAACTAATTAGCATCGTGATGCCAATAACAGAAGTATATTTAAAAAGAATAAGGTACATTTAAATACCTCCAAACTAATAAGCATTGCGATGCCACTAACAGGAGTATACCGGTATATAGAGAGACGAAGTTCCAAATATCAATATTATAAGTACTGGATAATGTTACAGTTTATTATATTATAGTTTATCAGTAGTTAGTTATTATAGTTATTTTTATAGTTTCCTATTATTTTCAGATCTTGATCATTGTATAATTCAGCTGGACAAGGATACGTACAAATAGGTAAATTTCTTATTTATGATCAAGATATTGGCGCAAGAATACAGTGTCCGTTCCCTAACTGTGACCACAGCACCGTCGACCTAGATGCAGCAATCATCGCGGTCCTCATCACAGCCAACAGTGCTGTACACATAATTGCACCCTTTCTGACCGCAAAAATAGAGAAAGTGAAGCGGTCCAACATAACCGCCGCTGGAACCAGCGAGGACTGGGACTACTTTATGTCACGCTGGACAGATACTAGTAATGTGACTGCAACGAAACTGGACAGTTAAGGACAAAGTCATTCAGTTGCTTTCAAGAGCGTTATGCCGAACCCCTTCGCAGAGACATGACTCGAACAACAGGTGGCACATTAACTGAAACAAGTAGATAACGTATTAGCTGTCATTCGTAAACTTGTTTGTTAAGAAATTCCAATGGTAGCTCGTGTGGCATTACATAACATGAGACAAGACCGTGATGAGTCAGTCAGAAACTTTGGTGCACGTCTTAGACGATAAGCTGACATTTACAAATTCGTGATCGACTGCCATAACTGTAACGCCAAAGTCAACTACACAGATGTCATCATGCGCGATGTCCTCACACGAGGTGTTGTCGATCCTGACATTCATTTAGACCTACTCGGCGACAAGAATCAAAATATGACTTTAGAGGAAGTATTTCAATTTGTTGAAGCGAAAGAAGCAGGGAAAAGATCAGCTTCAAGGCTTCTAGCATCGTCTCAAGCCACGGTCCGGAGTCCGCATATAGCTCTCTCCTACCCGTGGCTGCTTGATCACAAAAAGTGTCGTAATCTTGAATATTTACGCCTCTCTATTGTGACGTCATATTCAGTCAGTGGCAAGTTTTGTTTCCATCGCAATTGAAATCAACGACTGACGTCAACAGTATACAAGAAATATTTCCTTTACTGCGATTGGATATTGAAAGGTCGCCATAAAGTTCATCTTCCGACTATGCTTTACTCGCATTGGTCAATATTTTAATGAGCTACGAAGAATTCTCTCCTCGTTCAACCACGGCCAGAATGGGAGAGGATCGTACATTTTGGCCGTGGTTTGCGACGATGGGCTTCTAGATTCTCATTCGGTTGAGGCAGCCAGCTCCTACAAAAGGTCCACGCAAATGCCGAGCAAAGAAAATCAAGACCTGTGTTCTTATTGTGGGAAACGAGGCCATGGCAAGAAAAGTATGGCACAATTGCGTAAGACCCAGTGTCCTGTATATGACCACAGGTGTGAACTTTGTCACCATTTCCAGAGTTTTTACCGCAGCAAGCACAATCCAAAACGCCAAACACAGTCTAGGCAACACAACTATGACAAAGAAAGTGCTGTGTTTAACACTTTATGTACACTGTACTTCCCTCAACCACAGCATGACAA